TTCACGCCGCAGACCAGCGTCTTCCTGGGATCGGCAAGTCCCACTTGTGAAGTTGTTCTGCTACCGAAACTTAAGACATCTGGAAGCGTTGTTTAACATCGTTGCAAGCTGATTGCTCCTTGACAGAAGATCGAGTAGAGCTTCACAGATACTGTAGACTGACAGTAGACTGATTATCTTTCAATCAACATGTCATCCCCTGGTGTTGGCCGCAGCCTTTCCCACGCGTCAGCGAGTTTTCTTCAAGGAGTGTGCGAATTTCTCGTGTAGACGCCAGCATCACCAGCATCATACACTCGCGCAGAAGTAAGAGCTTGCTCTCTGGTATGGTGTCCGACTGCTGTCCTTGTCCATTCCTCCATTCCTCCCCGAGACATAACATGCACCTTGGGCAACCTACGCTTAAGCACGGCAATACGCTAGAGCTTGCCGAACGCTGGTTTGTGGTATCTTGTGGTATCTACAACTGCGGTGCTATTCGGCCACAGGGCTGTGTAAGGAAACTCTGCGTTAGTCGAGCTAAGGCAGCGAAGGATGATTTCCCGTGATGACATATAATGCAATATACGCAAACCTGAAATCCCATAGTGTATGAAGCGATGTTGTAACACAAGTTGGTATGCTTCCATGGTAATATTTTCTGTGCTATACGATCATACAGTGAAATCTACCATATTATAGTCACATTTCCTCCCGATGCTCCTCCGAACGGCAGCCTCTCGCAAGTCAGACACACGGGACCGTGAAGCCCAAAAGCCCTGAAGCACTGAGAACCCCAAAGACAGAAATGGGAACCTCGCGACAACGAAAGAAACTCACTAGGAGGCTAAAGTTGTGGCGAGCGCCTCAGGATTTGAACCTAAGCTGTCCCAAGGCTCAGGTTGCCCTTGCCCGGGGCCGAGATGATCACCTTCTCTGCACCTGCCTCGATGTGGCCGACGGCCTTCCTCAGAGCCAGCCCGCTATCATTGCTGGGCAGGGAAACTTACGGCGGAACCAAAGCAAACGACGCACAAAGCTCAACTCCGTGAACCGAAAGTGTGTCGACGAGCCACTCGTACTCCACGAAAAGGCCAGTGGACTCGATGACGTACTTGACTCCCATGTCCTGTCAAGACTTCAAGATGTCAGGCTTGTCTGTCTTGAGGGCTTCAGGAGCAAAGGCTCCTTCCAAGGCAAAGCCTTGGGGCCTTCGCGGCTGGCCTGGATGCACCTGCGCATGTTGCTACTGCTACTGCAGTGCCAGGCTCAGCAGGACAACGCTGCCAAGTTGCTTGATCTTGTTTCCGTTCACGATCAGCTCGTCCTTCTCACCGATCTTCACGTCGTGCTTGAACTGGCCATGCACAGTGTCCTGGGCACCAGGCTGCACATCCCACATGTGACGGCACGGGCACACGAGGGATCACGAGTGACGAGAATGAAGGCGTCTTGCATCTGCTGAAATACTCGGAGTGCGGCATACTTCATCTG